GTCAATATTTCACTGAGAAAGGTTTTTGTTTGTTGTTTGGCCCGCCCTAGATCAGTTATCGTGGGGCAGATCGGCGACGGGGGGGGGGCACTGCACTTTCGTTGCTCCACTAGTTCCGGTTTACTAGTCTCACTCTGTAGAACCAGTCGACTCTTGTGAAGCTAGGGCAGCTGGTCGAGCCACTATGTGAAACCTGTCAACTCTTGTAAGCTCATGAAATAGCTCTGCAGATGGGTTGACACGTTGATGGAAAGTAGCAGAAGTGCAAAATGCACCCCCCCCCCCTCCTTCCCCGTCGCCGAACTGTGCCGTTATCCGTATTGAAAATAGTAAGCAACGGATTGTGGGAGTTGTTTTGGGATTAGGAACGACTTCCGCCCGGGTTAAATTTGGATTTGTTATGAAAATGGATTGGACTATCTCAGTTTCCTTTCAAGTGATTCCTTCAAAACAATATAGATTCACCAGTTTGGCTGACGCGCACTACTGCGCGCATGGTTCAGTCTGTGGTCCTGATCAATGACAGGATTTCTGTGCTGACCCCTAACACATGGCCCAATTCCCATTTTTCGAAATTCGGCTCATTTCATCATATTTCTCTTATTTAATGAGCATTCGCCAGTGTCTGGTGCTTATCAATTCCTAAAAACACAGACCATTCGTTGGGAATAGAATAGCTTAGCGGCTGAAAGAGTCGATGGTAACAATATTGAAATCATAGTGAAATGTGTTTACATCCTAGTACTTCCGTTGAGCTGCTTTCACATATCCTTCTGTTGGTGGCTCTTATCATTCCCCACTGGCAAACAACTTTAAGCTGTTACTTTTTGTCGAATCTCGAGAGTTTAGCGGTCTAATTAATTCCGACCATAACACTAAAGGATGGAAACATTTTGGCTCACTGAGGCTTTGCCCATTCATTCCATGGGCCACGGTGGTCAACATGAGGCGCAAGCGGAGTAAAGCTGCGAACTGATACTGGCCCTTGTCGGACACACTATATCACAACTTATCTCCCACCACCAATGTTCCCTAAGCACCTCTGAATTGCTTACTGGAAGAAGTTCCCCAGTGTACAACTCGTGCATTGAATTTTGTGGCTTCCTCTCTGAAGTGGCCCCTATGGTATCTTATCAGCTGTTATCACTTCCTGCCACCCACCAATAATGTTCCCATCCTGCCCCTATCTTACTTCTTGGAACCGACGTCCCGTTGTTGCTGGGGTCGACGTTGTGAATTAGGTGACCCTACCTCTTCTAAAGCTCCTTATGGTATCTTATCAGCTGTTATCACTTCCTGCCACCCACCAATAATGTTCCCATCCTGCCCCTATCTTACTTCTTGGAACCAACGTCTCGTCGTTGCTGTAGCCCGCGCTATGAATTTGGTGACCCTCCCCTTCTAGACCCCTGTGGTATCTTATCACTCTTATCATTGTAACCATACCATAATTTCACATCTGCCCTATCTTATGCTTGATCAAACGTCCCGTCTGCTCTAGGTAGTGTTATAGAATTAGGTTGACCTCACTCGTCTAAGTGCTCTTATGGGTACTTATAGCTGTATCATTGTGCCACCCTCAACAATGTACCCATTCTGCCCCTATCTACTCTCTTCTGAACCAAGCGTTCGTCGTTGCTGTACCCACGTACGGGATTTGGTGATATACCCCTTCTAAGACCCTCTGTGGTATGTTATCAGCTCTTATCAGTTCTTGTCACCTACCAACAGTATTCCTGCCCGACCCCCTACAACACTTATCAGTTTGAGCGCTCTTTCGCTCTTTTGAAGGAAGTTATTTCCGGTCAAGTATACACAACACCACACACCAAAAATAAAAACTAGCGGATTATATATAGTAGGATTGTTCAGGTGAAGAAAATTCCACCGGAGCTTAATAACATCGCGAAGTTGAACGAGCACTTTGCAACATTTGGAAGTATCGTCATATGAGAGTGATATAAGCTTTATTTTGTTAATTCCCACTGAAATAACTCCATGTTTGAAGGTCCGTTTCAACGGGGAGCCTGACTCCGCTCTGATTTCTTATGCTTCGCGCCACGAGGCAATGGCTGCATATAAATCGCCTCAGCCTGTTCTGAACAATCGCTTCATCAAAGTGTTCTTCTATAACCCTGATGTTGTCGCCGGATCAACTGTTGGGCAAGATGTATGGGCATTTCTTTTTTTTTTTCTTACTGCGGTTTCTTTTCCTTAATGATATCTAGTTTTCTAGGGCGTCCAACGTACTGTACTAAACTCAGGTGTTAATGTTGATAAACCAGCTGGTGAGGGAACCCCACAACCAGCTCAGCCTCCCAAAGTGGTGAATAAATTGATTTCTGACAGCCACCTGAGCGCATCTAGATGTTAATATTATTTCTGTACTTGTTTAGGTGGCAACGATTGAGAATTCGAAATTTGTAAACAAAGAGTTGAAGGAGACACGTGAGAAAATTATCGAAGCGAAGCGTAAATTGAAAACTGAGAAGGTTCTGTTTTAAAAGTGTTTGGATGCCGTTGTTCTGCGTTGATTACCTAATTTGCAGGCTGCTCTAACATCACTTTTGAATGTCCACAAGCGCCAGACTGATTTACTTCAGAAGTTGGTGGATCGCCAAAAAGTGGTGGTCATGAAGGTAAGGCGTATCTCTTGCTCAGACGTCTACCTTTGTCAACTCTGATCTGTTTCAGCTGAAAACAGAGGCAGATACTTTGGAGCCTGCTGAAAAGAAGAAGCTCCTGGGTGTCGTAAAGAAGATGATGGAAAAAATCACTGCTGGAAGGAAAGAGGTAAAAAAGATAGATGTCCTTTTCAAGTATAAGCCCCGATAAGGGGTGAGCGAGGGGACTGATGACGCATGGGATGAATAGATGGAGTTGGCAGTGCAAGCTGACTGACGTATCACCTTCGAAGTATTCAATCCGCATCTCGATTTCAGATTCATGAGCTCTCGGCGAAACTGAAGAGTTGCACTGAAAGCATAGCCGAATTGGAGAAAGTGATAGCATCAGAAAAAAGTGCATCTTCCAAAGGAAAGAACTCAGACAGTGATGGAAGGGATAGTGCGAGTCCATCCTCTCCATCTCAAGAAGGGAAGGTAGCGGTGGTCGCAACTCAGAACCTTCTCAAAAGGAAAGCAGATGATGGTGAGGATAGATTTTGGTGGTCTCTACTCAGGTAATCCTTTAAGAAACTCATGTTAAAGCTCTCTATTTTAGGTGGAGATGTCGATGCAAAGCGCATCTCTACGGTAGTTGCTGTAAAACGTGTCAAGGTATTAGTTTCGTTATTTTTTAAAGACAGAAGCCCTTCTCTGCGCAAGGTAGTGCCCGCAATCGCAGGAGATCTGTAACCTTCGCGGTTCGAAAAAGTGCAATAAGTACGCCACGGTTTTGCCATGACGAGCAGCTTCCGCCCTCATGATCACTCTCCACCTTTATCATTCCATTTTACCATCAATATGTAGTGGTAGTATCACAATCATTTCTGTACTCTCGCCATATCATCGTCTCATTCTCCATAACGCTCAGTGCCTCCTCGTCATGTAACGCTTAAAACCCACACTGATCAAGTTAATGTCTTTTGACGATGATATGGCGAGAGTACAGAAATGATTGTGATACTACCACTACATATTGATGGTAAAATGGAATGATAAAGGTGGAGAGTGATCATGAGGGCGGAAGCTGCTCGTCATGGCAAAACG